TCCAAAGTTTAACGCCTCCATTGCCCGTTCGCACGGGCAAATATCTTTTCGACCAAGCAGCAGCATTTAAAGCATTCATCTTTGCATTACCCGTTGTTATTTTCTGGCAATTCATGCTGGTAGTAGTGGCACTGCGTGCACTGGCTGTACCAGTCGCGGCATTGGGATAAGGATACAAAGCATACCAATTAGCCGATGAAGAAGTATGGCAATCGAGCAAGGGCAATAGTACATCGCCTAGTTGGAGGGAGGGGAAATTTTGTTTTTTAAAATTGAATTTTCCATTTTTAAAGGACAAGAAAGAGCTAATGTTTGAATTTGAATTTTTTGGAATAGAAAAAATATCAGTTAGAAATGTAGGGTGAAGGTAGGTAGACATCAGATAGTTACAAAGAAGTGAGAGGTGTAGAAAAATTAGTTTTTGTTTTGGCCATGTTCACAGAGAGAGACAGGATTTTAAGGTAGCTACATAAAAATGCTTATTAGGTCATTGTTAAGGACATGGCATCTTTTGTAAGAGTGATTTAAGGTTAAATGCCTCATATACACAATATGAAGTGGAAGAAGTCTACATATATCTACTTCTATCTCTAGCTACAAATGTTATTTTATTTATGTGGATTGGTTAATGCAGGGGGAAAATTGTCTATACGTTATTTATATTTAAGGGTTTGTGGTGAGAATGACAAATGTTATTTTTATTACATGTTGGGAGATTTTTTTTGTTAGCAGTTAGTCGAAGATTGAATTCAATAAGATACGTATAATATTCTGCATGTCCTTGGGGGAATTAATTTCTTTCTAATGTGTGGCATTTCAATATCTCTATATACATTTTTCGAGGAACTCCTAATCCTTAAAGCAATATCAATGAATTTTCCTACGAAAATTTTAACAGAAGATTAATTTTCAATAAATCTGTCAAAAGTGATAGGTATTAAGGCATGTGCTATTATTATTTTGTAATTTTATATTTCCTTTGAAGATTTTTAATCCTACAAAAGCTGTGCGTGAAGTGGTGTGTATGACACGCTATCACTCACCTTATAATTGACAACTGCAGTGATTGATTATCGTACTTGTTCATAGCAAAAGCAATCATAATATCAAGCTAATTGAATTAAATTTTGAGCCATTGAAACTTTTATATACAGATAATATGAGATAGTAGTCAATATTCATTTTGTTTACTTTTAAAAGGTCTTATAAAAGATGCCTGTCGAATTCGAGGCGGGAATCATTTTCGTAAGTATTGTCCTGATTGGATGTACGTTTTAATGTTTTCAGAGCAATTTTTTTGCTGCGAGTGGTTGCGTTTCGAGGATTGTTTCGGATATTTTGAACCCATGTGGTGTCTAACAACGAAGCTCTCAGAATTGCAATTTAGAAATATTATCTTTTCCATGTAAATTGTACCCAAAATGCAAGAAAAGCAAAGTTTTCGGAGAAGACCCGGCAATGCCTACCAAATTTTGCACATGGTAGACCGGTGAATAATGTAGCTAAACCTATCAAAATACCGAATATAGGGAGGTACCATTATATGGGGGATCTACCAAAACGTGGACCTGCACAGACAATTTTCTGTCATAGGCTGTAATATTCATTACGAAATTAAAATACCAAATTTGAAATCATTCCTTCCTTCATTAAAATCATCAAAATACCGAATATCGGGAGGTACCGTTATATGGGGACTATACGAAGACGTGGACCTGCATACACAATTTTCTGTTTTAGGCTGAAATCGCCAAAATACCGAATATAGGGAGGTATGGGGCCTATACGAAGACCTGGACCTGCACAGACAATTTTCTGGCATAGACTGTAGTATCCATTACGAAGTCTAAATACGAAATTTCAAACAATTTCTGTGAATATTGTACTTAAAATATAGGAAGGTACCGTTATGTGGAGACTATAAAGAGGCGTGGGCCTGCATTACTCCGGTGAGTAATGTCCCAAAAATCGGAAAAAAGAGTGGGGGGTGTACCACCGTTGTATCTGGGTTATACTGTATCCTGGACCTATTTGGACAGGAGGTAAAATGCTTAGAAAGAACTTCTAGTATGGATTTTAAGACAATTCCATTAAATATTGTAGCTAAAATCGTCAATATTCCGAATATAAGGAGGTACCGTTATATGGGGGATATACCATATCGTGGACCTATGTTGACAATACTCTTTCAGAAAGAATACCTTTCGGGGCTACCTTTTTATGGAGGCTTCGAACTTGACCTGTCTGCAGGCAAAAGACTGATCTGTGCAAAATTTTAGCTTCCTATCTTCATTCGCTTTGACTTTAGCGTGATTACAAAAGACGGACGGACGATGAGTTACAATCATAATGACGAACTTAATATAACCTCCATATTATGTATGGTGCAGGGTAAAAAAATCGGAATTAAAGTCTCTGGGTAATTTCCTTCCAAATGTTGAGTTTGGGAATCAATTACCCAATATACAGACACACTAACAGGGTAATAATTTTCCTTCCTATAAAACCTCAATTAAAAACGTTCTCCAATGTCGAAGAAACAACGGATTTCGTCCGTGTAAAATCCTTATTTCGATGAGGCACATTTTGGACGTATCAAATGATATATACCCTCTGTAACCATATACAGGCTGTGATGAAAAAACTGCAACCAACTTCAGACTGCTGTCATTTCTAAGCCACTCGTCCGACAGCTGTTAAAATTATTCCAGTGACAGCTCAATAATAAATAAATAATAAATGTGAATAAATCTCGTTACTGTGATACTGGTAGCGTAGCCCGACGTCAAGGAAGTGGACGGAAGAAAACGTCAACATCAGCAGAGATGGTTCGAAAAGTAAAGAAGCGACTTGATCGGAACCCGCGTCGCAGTGGTCAAAAAATGGCTAGTGAGCTGAACATATCGCAATATTCCATTCGGAAAATATTGAAAAATGAGCTCGGGGTAAAGCCATTGAAATTCCAAAAAGTGTAAACATACAAAATGATCGTGTTAACTTGCCAAAAAGGTCAGCTGAAAATGTGCACCTTCAGTTGGCCACCAGAAATTAAGCGCCAGCCATGGTGATAGTGTGGACCACCATAACAGCCGATGTTCGCTCTCCGCTCGTAATAATCCACCTTGGCATCAGAATAAATGCCGAATATTATCGCGAAAATATTCTGTAGGGTGTATTAATCCTTGGTAACGCAAACATTTTGGCCGCAGACCTTGGACATTACAACAGGACTCAGCACCATCGCACTTAGCACGCGCCACCCCAGAATATTTACAAAATGAGGTTCCATATCCACCTCACAATGGCCAAAAAAAATCTGCGGATACCAATCCGTTGGACTATTGTGTCTGGAGTATTATGGTAAGCAAGGTTGGCACTAAATAATACCAAAGTGTCGATCACCTCAAGCAAGCGCTTCGCCCGGAATGGGCCAAAATACCGTAGAGCAAAATTCGGGCATTCACAGACTGTTCGAAGGCCATAATTCGTGCCAAATTTGATGCTATTTCCGATATGTTTTGCTTTCATTCAATAAATTAAAAAAAAAATGTAAAAATTATGGCTTTGACTCTGTTGCAGTTTTTTTTATTCCACCCTGTATTACAATTATGTCTATTATAAATAATAATAAGTCTATTAAGCCCAACTAAAATATCGAGTACATGCACATATTTTTACGTTAGTTTTCTGAAATTTTCGATATGTTTTTAATATCCTTTTTTATGGAACCTACTTGAAATTTTTGAAACACCTGTGGCTCATGCCTGAAAATATATGTTCATGACAAGTGTGTCAGAATCTCAATGTGAAATTAAATTCCCAGAAAAATTAGGGTTAGCGTACATCAAATTTCCTGCTAATTCTAATGAGCTTATCTCAAATCGGTAGACGGTGAATGCGAGTACTAATAGGAATAATAAGAATATTTCAACGTTGAATTAACACTTTACACATCATGTGATGTGGGGTGCGATAAGCTTTGACCTTTACTTAATTTATACAAGGTATTAATTTGAATTTGAAAATTGCCCTTTAGCACAAATACAGCTCGCTTCCTATATTTTGCAAAACGATACTTCAAACTAGTATGAAAAAAAACTGAATTCCTTGTGGGCTTATTTAGCAGTGTTATTGCATACAACTAACCCTATTTATTTTCCATCGCCCGGGGTCTACTCATGATATGTGAAATGTATTAACAATTGACTTATAATTTCCCCTAAAGCTTTAACAATTAATTAACTCCCTATGTGGGTATTGAAATAAATTGTTTGCAATTTAAAATAAATTTAAAGAGTTTTAAGTTAAGTTTAACGCCACGAACATTGGCCTAAGGGGAGAAAAACATTGCTATGGGCTGGTTTGAAAATTCACAATGAGTTAAAACACAATTTCAATAGAAACCATGGGGATCCACTTTTAAATTATATGGTTTTACGCCTATGCCGAAGGACATATGAATTTAAATAACGTAGGTTCAAATTAATTATAAACATGAAAATATATATAATTTCTAAGAATAACACGCACACACACAGTTGTATGAATATATGCAAAAGTAAACCAAAACAATAACACAGACGCACACACATTAACATTTGTACACTTGATATTCGATGTAATAACTACAAACACACGCTTATGAATGTTTTATCAAATACAAATGAGTATGCACATAAATACATTAAAATGACAAAAAAAAAAAAACGAAATTATGAAACTGAAATGATTCAAGTGCGGCAAGCTTAAACTATAAAATTAAAAATGAAATTTTATACAAAAGCGATTAGCATTTAAAATAGAAATTTTATTCATATATATTTTTTTTTTGTTAAATCAAAAAAAATTTTTTTTTCGTCTAGAAAAAGATAAAAAAAATTCTACTATGGCAACTAATACTACATTCAGCTAATTGTTTATATTTACTACAACAATTTGTGCTTGCAAAAACAATATTCGCTATGGCTACAATTTTTTTAAAATTGATTTTGGTATCCTACCGTTTAGACTCGGCTGGGCGTATTGTATGAAACCTTCAGAGATATAATGATGTTGACTACTCGCCGTACTTGTACTGCAGCGTGGCATCATATTTATGGGTGCTATGCGAGCACGAATTTCTGCAGCTCTTGCCGTGCCCATGGCTGCCTCTTCGTCGTTCAGTTCTTCCTCCTCAATGTACATGGAGGGGACATCGCTGCGGGCGGGTCTGAAAGATAATTAAAATATGGTATTAAGAAAATGAATACAAAAATTTAAATAAAAATAACATAACATTTTTTTATAATTTTTTGGAAGCGAATTTCCCTGATTAAAGTCTAAAAATGCCAAGTTACATTGGAAAAATGTGGGTGCAAGCTTTAAATTCAAAAAATCAATGTTCGTTCCGTTAAATATACAGAGTAAAATGAAAAAACTGCAACCAAATTCAGACTATTGTCATTTCTAAACCACTCGTCCGACAGCTTTAAAAATTATTCTAGTGACAAGCGTACAAAAGCTTTTTATGTGAGCATTTTCCAGAAAAACAGTTATTGGTGATGGAATTTAAACGTCATAGTGTGATTTCTTTATATTTGGCTGGTACACCACAAGTGGCTATCGTTAGAGCACTCCAGCATTTAAATGTGAATAAATCTTTTGTGTCTGGTACCATCTCTCGTTACCGGGATACTGGTAGCGTAGCCCGACATTAAAGAAGTGGATGGAAGAAAACAGCAACATCAGCAGAAATGGTTCAAAAATTTAAGAAGCGACTTCATCGAACCCACGTCGCAATGGCCGAAAATGCCTCGCGAGCTGAACGTATCGCAATATTCCATTCGGCAAATATTGAAAAATGAACTCGGGGTAAAGTCATTAAAGTTCCAAAAAGTCCAAGAACTTACACCGCAACAGAAAGAAAATAGACTCAAAAGAGTTAAAGAGTTGCTTCGCTTGGCCGAAAGTGGTGAACTGCCGAATTTGGTTTTCTCCGATCTGAAAACATTAGTTGTCCAGCAGTTTGTAAACAAACAAAATGATCGCGTTTACTTGCCAAAGAGGCGAGCTGAGATTGTGCACCTTCGGTTGGCCACCAGAACTCAAGCGCCGACCATGGTGATGGTGTGGGCCGCCATAACAGCCGATGGGCGTCCTCCGCTCGTATTAATCGACCGTGGCATCAGAGTAAATGCCGAATGTTGTCTCGAAAATATTCTGGAGGGTGTATTAAATCCTTGGGCACGTAAACATATTCTCCTCAGACCTTGGACATTCCAACAAGACTCAGCACCGCCGCATTCAGCATGCGCCACCCAAGAATGATTTCAAAATGAGGTTCCTCACTTTATTTCCAGCGTTTGAAGGCTATAATCTAAACTTATTCTAAAATTTGATCATATTTCCGAAATTTTTTGCTTTCATTCAATTAAATTTAAAAGTTATGGCGTTTGACTTTCTTGTAGTTTTTTATCTCACCCTGTATATGTTTTGTTAGGTCTAAATTAATTATTATTTAGATGAGTTACAAACGGAATGACGAACTTGGACAACAAAAATGTTTCTGGGAGACATTCTTCATTTTTTCATGATGAAGACGTCATTACAGCCATGAGTAGTGTAGTTTTCAAAACTTCATACAATATACAAAATGTAGACACTTTATGAATTGTCTGTTTAACCTTTTATGTATTTTATGTTATGCTATACATTATTTAAATTTCCCCCACAAACTGATTAATTGATTGTGGATCAACAAACATCTGCATGTATTTGAATAGCTAAGAATCCCCAAGGCATCAGACTAAATTTGAAATATCAGAAATTAAATATATTTCAAATTTCAAATGAAATGTTTCATTGCAACGACGTGAACATGTGTGAGTGTTTGTGAAAAGGTGAATTGGTATTGAATTGCTTCAAGAAATATGTTATATTATTGTTTCCACATTCAAAGTCATTGAAATGATGATAATTGCAAACAATTTGTGCAGACACCTTTCCAAGAATTGTGTCTACCATCTTGATCATAGATTGTATTGAAATTGTAAGGCCAACATTTGGGCAACACATGTATAGATATCATGTCTAAATATTTTATTTAAAAACTTGTTGTATTTCATTGATATGTTGTGTTTGAAATGCGTTTTATGCAACTAGAAAAAATACACGTGGTATTTAAAATAGGTCAATCTTATGTGAAGCAAAAACATTTATTGCTCCAAAGAAATCTAAATAGAGTAGGCAAGTTACACCTCCTCCATACACCTTTAAATTTTTTGATTAAAATTCCTTGTGAATATACACATTTTACAGATGCAGAGTTTTTTAGCAATGTTACAGATAACAGTATGGGGATTATTATGGACGAAGGGGGAAAGCTACAAACGGGAGTCTTTTGGGACAGTTGACTCACCTAATGATTTAAAAACTCCTTCTAAACAAGTCAATATATTCTATAAAATTATCTGTCACAAAATTCTACTATATAAAACACGGCAACAAAGTCAAACGCCATAATATTTACTTTTTTTAAATTTTTTTTTTGAATGAAAGCAAAAAATGTCGGAAATAGCATCAAATTTTAGAATACTTTTTGATTTGTTCGAATTGGTCATCTTTGGCACGAATTGTGGCCTTCAAACGGCCAATGAAATCGTCACACGCTGCCCGAATGTTGCTATGCGTTATTTTGACTCATTCCCGGTAAAGCGCTTGCTTGAGGTGATCGACACTTTGGTATATTTAGTGCCAAAGTCCTGTTGGAATGTCCAAGGTCTGCGGCCAAAATGTTTTCGTGCCCAAGTCCTTAATACGCCCTCCAAAATATTGTCGCGATAGTTTTCGGTATTTATTTTGATGCCACGGTCGATTAATACAAGCGGAGAGCGACCATCGGCTGTTATGGCGGCCCACACCATCACCATGGCCGGCGCTTGAGTTCTGTTGGCCAACCGAAGGTTCACATTTTCAACTGACCTCTTTGGCAAGTAAAAACGATCGTTTTGTTTGTTTACAAACTGCTGGACAACAAATGTTTTCTCATCGGAGACTCGGCCAAGCGAAGCAACTCTTTAGCTCCTTTTAGTCCATTTTCTTTCTGTTGCGGTGTAAGTTTTTGAATTTTTTGGAATTTCATTGACTTCCATTTCGGCCACTGCGACGCGGGTTTCGATTAAGTCGCTTCTTTACTTTTCGAACCACTTCTGCTGATGTTGCTGTTTTCTTCCGTCCATTTCCTTGACGTCGGTCCACGCTACCAGTATCACAGTAATGGGCGATGATACGAGACACAAAAGATTTATTCACATTTCAATGCTGGAGTGCTTTAACGATAGCCATTTGTGGAATAATTTTAACAGCTGCCGATATCCCAGAGGACTCCAAATCGATTTGGAATATGGAAAATTCGAATTGGATTTCTAAATACTCGGTTTTTAGATTGAAATCTTAAGGGCTGATTTACGAAACTCTTTTTGTGAATCGGATCATGGGATGAGAATAAAATCTTGCCTCAGAAGTGATATATTTTTTGTTTGAACATTTTTCTCCCAATTCTAAAATAACTAAAACAAGTAAAAAAGCATTAAGTTCGGCCGGGCCAAACTTTTAATGCGCTCCACCTTAGGGTAAAGTAAACATTAGAAGAAATGTGGCAAAAATCATTAAAATGCCGAATATCGGGAGGTACCGTTATATGGGGGCTATACCAAATCATGGACCCATACATGCAATGTTTCGCCACCGGAGCTGGAACCCATTATGACCAATAAATACCAATTTATAGACAAATCCGTGAAAAAATGTGGCAAAAAAAATTAAAATACCGAATATCGGGAGGTACCTTTATATGGGGGCTATACCAAAACTTGAACCCATACATGCAATATTTTGCCACATGCACAGAGACCCGTTATGACCTACAAATACCAATTTTCAGACAAATCCGTGAAAAAAATGTGTCATAAATCATCAAAATACCGAATATCGGGAGGTACCGTTATGTGGGGACTGTACCAGAACGCGAACCGATATATCTCATTTTCAATACCAACCATCCTAGACACAATACAAATTGCTCTGCTAAATTTGGGCGCTCTACGTCAAATAATGTGGGCTGTATCGTGATTTCAACAGACAGACAGACGGACATCGTTAAATCGACTTAGAATTTTATGCTGATTATAAATATATATTTTATGGGGTCTACGACGAATATTTAAGGATGTTACAAACGGAATGACAAAGTTAATAAAAAAAGTTTCCAAGGTGGAGGGTATAAAAAAAATCTTATCTTTCTTTTTGAATCAGCGATATTTTTGTACAATCCTTACATCATAAACCATTTTTAGTACTTGAACCTATCCAGAATAAGATAACTATATTCGGATAATCATTCTCTTAGAAACCTTTAATGATAAGCAACATTACTATGGATTAATTACATTTGTATTTATATCTTAAAACAACTATATCTAATTAAACAACAACAGCAGGAAAACTTACAACTACAACATGAGAAACCAAATGAACACTTGTTCATCATGGTAATAGTGGGTGTGGGAGTAACTATCTTCCATTCACATCACGTTGGCAAGAGCGAGAGACGGGAGTAACAAAAAATTTATTTCTAATTCATGTTGTTGTTGTTAACATCACAGCTACATCTATTGAGTAATTAATTTAATTAGGCTCATCACATTCTACTGGCCAAGGTATGAAATGGCAATAAATCAAAGAACCAAGAACAACAAAGAATGAGGAGCTAAACAATAAACTACATCAATTTGCCCTGGACATGGACATTCAATGGCTGAAACTACAACAAAGAGAGAGAGAGAGAGAGAGAAAGTCCAACAAAGACTATACCTTGCATTGCAAGCCAACCGTCGTGTTTATTGAATATACGTGAACTACTTGGCAATTTCTTTTTGGCATCCAAGGCAGGGGAAGCCAACTATCTGTGTTAGTTATTCTTCTTTTGCCTTCTTCCCTGCCCTACGTTTATTGCGCAAATAACATTGAATGTTCAATTAAGACATTATATTTAACCAATAAATGGTTAAGTTATTCTTCAATAGCTTCCATAAATCTTTTAAGTTGTTCGATTTTTCTTTTCTAATTTCAGGTTAATTTAAAACAATTGTGTAAATCAATTGCTAAGTCTGGGGATGGGCGGATTTTGAAACATATCGATATTTGTTTTGGGCAATGATTGGTTTTTTTTTG